AATAATTTCCCATTAATTGCTAGAAATAAAGTCGTCTGTTTCAAGTCCTTTCTGCCGCGCCTGCTTTTCTGCCACGCATTGTGTCTGCTGCATGTGTCATGCTCTTTAATTATTGCGCCTCCTCGTCCAATGCGTCCGTTTTGAACTTCGTGCGAATTAATACTCCCACCGTAGGATCTAGCTTTAATCTGACGGCCCTTATCTTTCCACCCTTCGATCTTTAAAAGTATAAATTCCATACTTAGCGTATTTTTCGACTTTTTTCCACCCTCGCAATTTTCGAATTTCTCTGTACCCAGAATTCTCTCTGCAAAAAACCCTTAATCTCTCGACGATTTCTCCTGCACTCTTTCAAACTTCCATCAATTATTGATCCACGGTTATGAGTAAGTCTCTCCACGCTTGAATTTGTATTCTTTGTAGTTCTATTTTGTGTATTCTTGGATTTTCAATATTGGGTACCCTTGATCTGTCTGTTGAATTGTTTCAAATTGGCGTGTCTTGTGTTGAATTTGTGCTTGGAATACTCTTGTTTGTCTATTGAATGTTGAGGGTTTTTCTTCTCCTCTGAAAATTTTTGAAATTTCCGTCCCCATACCTCTCAAGTTCTTCTTCTGGTTTTTGGATTGCTCTCTCCAAAAACCGTAATCTTTCTTCTGCCCTCTTTCTTCCTTGCGGCGGCTTCTTTTTGATATTGTTCTCTTTGTCTTTGTTTTGATTTTCTTTTCAGACTTTGAGACCTCCTCTGATTCGGTTGAAATACTACCCTCTGCGCTCGAAGTTGTCCCTTTCTCTATCCTTTGCCTCGGCGACACAATTCCTACCCGTGTTTTCACAGCCTGCGTCGCTTCTTCCAACTCCGAGGATACCATGGATAACATTCCTCTCTGCCGCTGTCACCTGCTCTTGGCGTGCTAGACGAGCCAGAGGAAGACGAGGTTATTTCTCCGCAACCCACTGCTCCTTCCTCTTCAAATTCTCCACCCACACGATCCTCGACCAAAAAACTTTCCAAGCGCCCATCTTCTACTTCTCCTTCTCACCCTTGGTTCAATCCTGAAAAAATCGGCCAACCTCTTGGTTGGGCGTTCCTTAGATCTTCTCCCTCTGACAAATACGATCATCCTCCGCAGGAGTGTTACACTTTTTTCAAGATTCAGTTCAAACTCGGTCTCCGCTTTCCTCTAAGTCCTGAGCTACTTCGCATTTGCGAGTGGTTCTCGCTTCCCCTGCATCAACTTCCCCCTAATGTTATCCATTTCATGAACGTATTCATTATTCTCTGCCATGTCCGCTTGGGTCGATTCGATCTGGATTTCTTCCACTATTGCTATGGCCCTTCGAAGCAAGGTCGGGGCCTTTACCTGAAAAGCCGTAATGGTGCCCATTTCATCAACGACATCCCTTCTAACCTCCCCAAGTGGAGTGATAAATTCATTTTTGTTCGACCTGACGCCCCTTTCCCATGGCCTTCCATTTCTTGGGTCAAGGAAGTCTCGCGAGAGGCAGCCTCAGCCCCTCCTTCGAACCATCTCTTCGACCAACGGATTCACACTTGGAATGCCAAGTCCGTTGAGTCTGAAAAACTCTTTGGTGATGAAAATCTTCTCCACTTTTGCGGTCTGCTCACCCATAAAACTCTTTCTCCTCCTACTGAGGAGATTCTCAACCTTGTTCGTATTGAAAATGATCCAGGTAATTCTCGACCCATTTGCTCGAGTGTTTGCATATACGTTCTTATTTCCGTCGAAGTAAAAATCTGATATTTATCTTGATCTCCTTATTGTACTTGTGCAGAGGCTCCTAATTTTAACATCCCTCTGAGGAAAGTCCGTTTGAAGAAGAAATCAGGAACTGTTGCTGGATCGACCAGCGACAAGGCCGATGGGTCAGCCAGCTCTGGTGGATCTCGACCGGAGCCGCAACAGCAATCGCCCCCACGGCAGACTCCGCCGCCTCCTCCACCACCGTCCAAGGAAACATAACAACAACAGCCCCAACAGCCGCGACAACAACAACAACAACAACAACAACCACAACAATCGCGACAACAACAACAACAACAACCACAGCCTCCGCCCCAGCAGCAGCAGCAGCAACAACAACAACGACAACAACAACAACGGCAACAACAGCAACCGCGCCAAACCCCTCCACCTCCTCCTGGCCAAACATCACAACCATCTTCTACTCTGGCCACCGGCGCCCATTCCTCGAGCACATCCAAGCTAGATGATCGCCACACTAAAAACCTCGACCGCCAACAGAAAGCTGACAGCCACCACCAAAAACCCGACGATCTTTATAAAACCGACGGTTGCCACCAATCTGACAGCCGCCAAAAAATCGACCATCGAGCTCCCAATCCAAAGGATACCACTTCTTCCAAAGTTGCGGACAAATCCTCTGACTCCCATGTATCATCCAAGGCCAAAACCCCAGAGAAACATCTCTCCAATCAACAGTCTTCTACCCCCCTTGAGGGCTCGACCAAGGATATGGTCGTGCGCCATGATCAAGGCGGCGGGGAACGAGAAGGCGCCCTGGGCAAGCGATCTCGTACCGACCAATGTGAGGTGGTCTGGAAACGAGGACGCACTAGCCATCAGTGGCCTGATCCGC